TCCTGATCCAGGGCTGAAACCTCTGGTACATAATTATCTCTCCTTTCTCTCTCCTCCTCCTGCAGCTTAATGGAGATGCCTCTCACAGGCCCTCTCTGAATCCGCTTCATCAGATGTGTGACATAGCCTGCTATCTTGTTCCGGAGTTTCTTGCTGGGAATAATGGCAATCTCCTCGCACATGCGCTTGTTCGTGTGGAAGTCATTACTCAGGCGCGTGTAGTATTTCTCAATGATGACCCGGGCCGCCTTCTTCACGGTTTTGGTGCGAACGCGGCCCATGTTGGCGGGTCCTTGGTGAAAGACTCAATCCGTCTTCTTGAAGGTCTTCCTTCATATTGACCATCTCCTTCTTCCACGATGATGCCTTTTTCCAAGGACCGGCCTCTTCTAACAACATGCTCGAAGTATGTGAGACAAAGTTTCATCATTCCTGCCTCTAAGGAGCACCCTGGTTCCAGTTCCTCTGAGATAGATTTGGGGTTTTTTTGGCAGTCTGTAAGATATTCAATAATCTTCACTAACACCCTAATTCAAAGGTATCAATTCTTCATCTGTTATGCCTAGGACGTTGGTCATTATGTGTTCCACTTCATTTCTGGCAACTTTTCATTTTCCTTGATTCACACTTTATGTATTCCTGTCCTGATTACTAATCGATGCCTGCAGCTGTTTCTTCTCATTTTTAGTCTCACCTTGTGAGCAGATGAAGGTTCTTTGATGGTGAAAGCTTCAGTCCTTCTGAAACATCGAGGGTAGATACCACTTTGAGGAAGCACCTTTTCCTCAGGTGCATTTTCAGTGCCTCCTGGGCATTCAATGGCCTATTATTTCAGAAATGGACAGTCAGTCCCGCTTTATAGTTTGTCTTAGTCTGGAAGCTCTATTGAGACCTGTCCACTCTGGGTGACCCTACCTTCTGGTATCTGAAATCCTGGCAGCCTCTCTCTCCACAGCCCAGTAACTTGCAAACCTCCAATGACAGAGGGGTGGTAGCTGTGAATAAGAAGCACTGTCCATTAACAAAACCTGGGTTTTTTTGCATCAATTTCACTAATCACCCACCAAGGACTCCTCTGCAGAGATATGAGCTAAACTATCTATATCTACAGACATTAGTTAGCAGATATAGGTCAGTGGTTCAAACCCCATGACCATTCTAGTGGGAAGATGGTGCAGTCTGCATCTGTAAAGATCTACAGGCTAGAAAACCTCTGGATTTTGAGAATAAGATTAAAAAACTATAAAAAAACCCCACTTTATAAAAAAATTTAAGATTTTTCAAACAACAGAATTATGTCAGTGATAAATACTCTAACTTTTAGTATCAATATTAAGGAGCCCCAGGGGCTCAGTGTCACATGTGTGGTTGCTAATGAAAAAGTCAGTGGTTCAAATCTACCAGGTGGTTGGAGGGAGGAAGATGGTCCACAGCTTCTCCTATAGATTCAGTCTCTGCAACTGGAGGGTCATTATGATTCAAAACTGACTTGATGGCAGTTAATAATCAAGATTAGGAAGAGTATGTCTGAAACCAGGAAGGTGAACACAGCTTCCTGAGTTTTCATACTGCTGTGTTGCTATTAAGTGCTGTCAAGCTGAGTACAATTCATAGCAACCCTATGAACAAAAGACCAAACTTTTGTCCAATCTTGCACCATCCTCACGTGTCATGCTCAAACCCACTGCTGCAGTCCCAGGTCCCTCCACCTTGTTCAAAGTCTTCCTCTCTCTCACCGTATGATGGATGGTCTTTTCCAAAGAGTGGTCTCTCCAAACAACATGCCCAAGTATGGGAGCATGGCTTCCAGACTAAGATGGATTAAGAAGCAGGACTAGCTATCCACTTCTGAAATAACAGGGAGCTCTGGTGACCTAGTGGGTAAGATGCTGTACTGCTAACCCAAAGACAGGAGGTTCAAATCCACCAGGTGTTATGTGGGAGAAAGATGGGCGATCTCCTCCTGCCTCATTTATTGTCTGTGAAACGCCTGCCAGAGGGTCAGCTATGTGTTGGTTCAGGCTCCAGGAGGAGTAATAATAACTCATAGTAGAAACACTGTAGTAGTTTTCACAGGGCTACCGTCCATTCCACAAGGGGATGCTTAAGTTCTATAATTGACAAAAGTGTCTAAGTTTAATTTCTAACTTAACAGGAAACAGCATTCACATTTTGCTATTCCCTTACACTGTGGATAAATGAATAAACCAATGTTTCTATTCTATGCTGCTGTAAATATTTTACTTGTACACTTTTAGAATACAACATTAAAATGTTAACACTATTACCAAATAAATCTATAGTAATAAAATTTTTGTCTCTCTTTATGTTTATATCATGACAAAGGAACTGAACAAACTTCTACCAAATTGGGAGGGCATGATTAGAAATAGTCTTATTTAAAATATAAGCCAGTGGCTTATTTCAGGTTCACTTTGAAGGGTCCTGGAACCCATAGTAATTTGTGGTGGTAGTGTTGTTTTCTGATATTACACAAAGGCACAATTTAGAAATTTTCATTGGAAAATATATACTAATTTATGGAAGGGTCTATGCAATTATTTCATAGTGTCTCAAATCAGGACCAACTGATAGCTGACCCTCTAGCGGGTCTTCAGAGGCAATTACTATAAGAGAGGAGACTGTCCATCTTTCTCTCACGGAGCAGCTGGTGGATTTCAACCACATGCCTTTGAGTTAACAGCACAATTCCTTATCACTCAACTACTCAGTGACTGAGTTTAGTCTTTTTCCTTCTGTGAATGTATTTCTGAAATGATAACATACAAAATACAAAAAGGTCAATCAATCTTACAGCAGTATTAGCAAGAACTGAAAAGAAAAGGAAAATGTTAAGGTCTAAAAACAAATCTACAGGAGATAACTCTTTGACTGCATGAGTCCAAAATGAAGGCTGTCTGATGGGCCAAGTAGGACAGCTAGGTTCTATTTAAAGACGAATCAGATAGACAGTTGCAGAACAAACATCTCAATACTTGACACCAACTCCTATTTCAAGCAGCTGAAGCTGACTTCTAACCAGAAAACCTGACAAATGAACAAGGCATGCCCTCTTATTCTTACTTGAAATCTAAGTCTCACATAAAAAATGCTGCACTACCTACTGGAGGAGACAAGATATACAAGCTTTAAAATGCTGCAGACAGGAAAAACAATCGTTTCACATCAACTGTGCTAAGGAAATGAACATCATATAATGCCTGAAAATTTGAGTTTAATCTGAACATCAGCTTAATGTCACAGAGTCCCCAGAGCTCCTGAAGTCAGAGGGCTCCCTGAAGGCAAAGGTGAGAGAGCTTCATCTCACATCTTTAGGGCATATTGAGAGGAAAGACTACTCATTGGAGAGTGACATCATCCTTGGAAGGGTGGAGGGTCAGTGAAAGAAAGGGAGACCTTTAACCGAATGGACTGACACAGTGACTGTAGCAATGAGGTCAAGTATGTCAGAGTTGATAAGGATGGTGCAGGACAGGGTTTAGATCTGTTGTTCAAAGGGTTACTATGAGTTGAACTCGACTTGATGGCACCCAACAACAACAAACACTTAGGACACCTGGATTATACACAGTGCATTTCAGTGGGGTGTGGTGGAGGAATATCCTGTTAGATTGCACAGGTGATTCTCTTGAACAGTTCCTTTGTTTCACATATCCACAATTGTCATGATCACTCACAAGCTTTTGAATTGAAGATACTGGTTTGTGACCAAGTCTCTTCTCTCACAGTCAACTCTGAAGCAATGGCGTAAATGTTTTTCCACTTTCCCTTAAGATTCAATTTTTTGAACAGAAAAATATTCCTAAAAATTCAACTCAGCACCACAAGAAGATAAAGGTAAAAAACCCAATTGAAAAATGGGCACAGGATATGAACAGATACTTCACCAAAGAAGACATTCAGATGGCAAACAAACACATGAAGAAATGTCCAATATCCCTAGTTCTAAGAGAGATGCAAATCAAAACAACTATGAGATATCATGTCACCCCACTAAGAATAGAAAAATTTAACAGAACAGCAAACAACAAATGCTGGTGAGGTTGTGGAGAAACTGGAACCCTTATTCACTATTGGTGGGAATGCAAATTGGTGCAACCACTATGGAAGGCTGTATGGCGCTTTCTCAAAAAGTTGCAAATAGAAATACCATTTGACCCAGCAATTCCACTACTGGGAATTTACCCTAAAGAAACCATAAGTGCCACTCAAGCAGATATATGCACACACATTTACTGCTGCTTTGTTCACAATAGCATAGAGCTGGAAACAACCCAAGTGCCCATCAGCAAACGAATGGACAGGGAAGCTGTGGTATATTCACACACTGGAATACTATGCTGCATTAAAATACAAGGAATTCATGAAATATTATGCAAAATGGATGACCATGGAGGACATTATGCGGAGTTGATGTCTCAGTCATAAAACGACAAATATTGCATAGGGCCACTGTTGTAAAACAGGACTGACATCGAGGCAGAGAAGGAGGTGAAGAATGATGGATACTGCATTGAAACAGATGAGGGAGAACTGTTTAAAAGGGATATATGACTGGGTATTATTATCATGACAGAGTCCAGAATAAAGGCTGCACTGTGGAGTGGATCTGGGGGGAGGGCTTGCATAACAATGAAAGAGTTTTTCTTTTACTTTTCAAGGAGAAGAGTGAATTGGTGGGGCGGGGGTCATGGAGAAAAGTGCAACAAATGACTCGAAACCCTAAGTCTCTGTAAACTGTCATTAAAATTAATTAAAAAAAATTCAAGTCAGTTATTTCAATACCAAATGGTTAAGTCATAAACTATCAATCTATTTATACTGCTGATCTGATAGATTAATAACTAATTTAATGTTAATGATTTCTGGCTTACTCCACTTATAAATTTAAAATGTTTAGAGAAAGTATTTATTTGCATATGCAATATATTAAAAAGACGTGTCTACTATGAAGTTCACTAAATCATGTGTCTTCTTACCAAGCTTGATGAGAAGAATCATTTCTCAACACATTCACAGGAACCTTAATTTCACCTAGGAAAACATCTTGGACCAGATTTCCATTGTTCCACAAGTCAATCCTGAAAAGAAAAAACTTGGCTTTATTCTTGGCCAATAATATGTAAGAGAACACACATCATCAAACAGCTTCAAATCACTTGGTTGTGCATTTTGGCATTCATTTTCCATGCTTGAAAATAAGGTATGTTATCACTGTCATACATTGCATTATCTTAAGACTAGAAAGTCAAAACAATGGACTTTTACTTGACAGCATAAAAGAGGAAAAAAAGGAGGTTAAAATCTAAAAGAAATCATTCGTTTTCTGGTTTCATGTCTAGGCTTTATTTTAACTTGGACAATAAAGACTACAGAATTACTTTGTTGAATTTGAAAAAAGAAACAAACACAAGACTACAGTTTCTCAATGACATAATAAAGAAATAAGTATATAATATAGCTGATGCAGGAACCTTGGTGGCATCAGAGTATATGATGTGTTGGGTTGCTAAAAGGAAGGGTTGATGGTTCAAATTCAACTGTGGTTCTGTGGAAGAATGATGGGACAGTCTCCTGTAAACATTTACCTCAGAAACTCCAAAGATGGTTGCCACCATCAGAGTTAACTGGAGTCTGGATTGGGTTTACAGGGATTTAGAAAAATAGATTACCTGAGCACAACAAACACGTAATTAATATGTCTTTTAGGTGAACACATTGTTAACAACACACCTACACATGCATTTACAAAACATGTCCCCTCCCAAAGAGTATAGCTAATTAAGACCTAGGAAATAGCACATACTTCAAACACATGCACCTGTTCAATTCTCTTACAAAACTTCTTACCTCACTGAAATTTCTGTTAGACAGCAGATATGTTAAGAAGAATAAAAAAATTATTTCTAAATTGGCTGTTTTATGATTGTTCTTTATATATTCTTAGTACTTACTATGACTAAAAAAGTTAAAATAAATTTAGGAAATATTAAAATATAGTAAAATGGGTAAAACTTAGGTCATATTTGTTTATTAAATAAATAGATCTTAATGATTTCTGTGGCCAAATCTGACGTGGGGTGTGGTTTTTTTGTTTGTTTTTTTTTAAATCAGGTTTTGAAATGACAATTTGGTCTTACACAGATGCACACTTCATAAACCAAGTACATTAAGAGACATATGCTAAGCTTGGTTCACCGTAGAGGCTGTGCTGCTGGTTCCAGGGCAGCACCTCTCTGGTGTTTGAGTCACCAAAAAAAAATATGGATGGACACTCTCCTCCTGTGTGATTTATGCCTCTGAAGACTTGATGGAGGGTCAGCTATGAGTCGGTTCTGACTGGACATAAGCAATGAGTTTTTTGTTATAAGCTTAGTTCAACTTTTACAATCAAATTTAAATTTATTTTCACACAGAAAAGAGCAATTCTGTAAAACTCTGAAGACACACACCTAATTTCTAGCTTTTCAATGTCTTCCTCTTCTACCTGGAATTGAGATTTTCGCGTGTAACTGCTGGATCTGGTTACCTGTAAATAAATTATTTAAAAACAAAAATTTTAATATTTTTATTTTTACATTAATTTAAAAAATATATCATCCATAAAATGTTCAACTATGGATATGAAAGATACTAGAAAGAAATGCTCAGATAATGCAATTAACCTGGGATGGGAGACTAGGAGGTGTGTTAAAAAAATCCAAAGCAGCTCTTCCTTCCATATCTTTCCCAGTCCCTCACATACAGCAGCATGATGTTCTCTGGTTCATAAGGATCTTGTCACAAGGAAGCTGCATATGCTGGGAACAGGCTGAAGACTTTCCTGCCAGTCTCATCTTTGCAATTTCCTCTCACATTCAACTTAAGGTATCAAGAACATGGACAGAGCTGCCTCAGCGACACTCCACCTGAACATGCCACTTTCACATGGGCCTTTCTCTCTCCATTTTCATAAATTTGTCTCCTGGACAAGAGGATGAGCTGATTCTCCTCTCTTCTTTGAATGCCCACCCAATAGCCCACAGCAGGCTATATAATCAAGCATCCAGCACATAGGCTACTTTAATGTCTGCTTTAAAAGCTCCTTTACCTCATTTAAGTCAAAGAAAAATTTTCTGCTGGGTTGTTCTCTACCTTTTTTCCTTTCATAAATACCTTAAAGCTGCAAACTGTCTTACGGTGTCTACTTCCTCATCACTCACAGAGACTCTGCACGTCCCTCTCCTAAAATCTCTCTCTTCAACATCACATGTGGCAACCACGTCTTGGTCCTCACCTTCTCTGACCTCTCTGGAGCACTGAACTTATGATACTACAATTATCTCTCCTTTTCCATGAACAGTCTTCTGAGTTGACAAAGTACTACAACTCTCTGGGTGGTACAAATAGTTAAGTACTTGGCTACTAATCAAGTGGCTTACGGTTCAAACCCACCCACAGGCACCTTGTAGGAAAATAAATGCCTCCCAATGCGCTCACAGCCACACGGACCTAGCGAGGACAGCTCTGCATTGCGCTTGAGTTGGAATAATCTCGATGGCAACTTTTCCCCTTCAAATTCTAGCATACTTTCATTCTGCTTGCTGCTGTTTCTTATAGCTCTTCTTCAGAGCCTATGCATATTCTACAGGTTTCATCTTTTTTAAAAAAATAATGGCAAGAAAGAACCTGAAGGGACACAGAGCTAGAACACTGACAAAGTGTTTTCCCTTCTTTCATCAAAATGTTTCTCTGAATCATGGGATTATATAAATTCGATGGGAGGGTGGGAGGAAAATTGGCAAAATCTGGTCTGGAAAACAATGTATTCAAATTCTGTAAATAAAACTAGTATAATAAAATGTTCTAAAAAAATTTTCTCTAGAACAGGTTCTGATACTTCATGAGTCTGTCTACACAGCTTAGAATTCTCCATGGAGCACAGAACTCCATTACTAGAAAAGGTATTTTCAGTGATCAAATATTTGAAAGTAAGAACATTGACGAATGAAAATTAAGTTTTTGTTTTAGAGACCATCTTAACCAGTGTAAAACAATTTATTCTCCACAGCTTAAGAATAAGGTATCCATCTTCTTCCTATATAAAAAGAGTTGATTTATTTAGTATGTAATGAGGTCATTGTACTTTAGGGTCTCAAAACATTCTCACATTTGGACTTTATTAAAATCTGAGTTATGCAGGAGTGCTATGTTATTCCCCTACAAAACTATCCTTTTACAAGATGAGTAACTTGAGTTTCCCATTTAATAACTTGTTCAAGGTTAATTGGGACTAGAACTCAGACCTGCCAAGTAGATACACTCGAATGCACTTATTTCATCAGTGGTTTTCAAACAGTATTCCCCAGAAGAGTCCTGTGGCCCTGTATGTGAGTTAATAGGTCAAACGGGGTCGGAAGGTCAAGAAAGGAGGGTGGACAGGAGGGTCTCCCACTCTAAACCAATCAAGAGATCTGCCTTTATTTGTTTTCTGTATTAGGCCTTCCCTACTCTGTAGTTTTACTGTTCTCAGAAGAGAAAGGCTTCATTGTCACAGGGCTGCTTAAGTTGGTGTGCCCTTTAGTTCGTTCCAACTCACTGAGACTTAAGAGGACAGAGGAAAGGTGTCCTGTTGGGGTCAGAGACCACGACCGTTACAAGAGCTTACTGCTGTGCCTTTCCTTCCTTGCAGTCACTAGAGGGTGTGAACAGATCTGTCAGCCTGCAGCCAGGTGTTTACCACATCCCATCAGGGCTTCTGAATCACGAAAGCAGTTCTTTATTAACATATGCTGGCAGTCACTAAGGTATTGGGCTCCCCTTCATATGTGAAAAATTCAGGCAAATATTTCTATAGCTTTGGAGCATTAAATATATTTATTTATATTATTAATTTTTGAAATGTTTTTAAGGTTACTTTTCTTTTTTTGTTTCTTTTACATAACAAAAATGCTTTTAATATTACTCTATACTGCTGAATCAATACACAACATCATTACAGTTGCAGAAAAGATTGAATTGTTAATGATCTCCTTTTATTTAGATCCACAACCAACACCTATGGTAACAGCAATCAAGAAATCTATAGGGTGTGTATATGTATATGCATAGATATATACACACATTCAGGTATATATTCTCTGCAGAACCCTAAGAATCCTGATAAATCCCCTATGTACATTCAGACTGGTCAAATGGCTTCTGATAAAATGATTATCACAGCAATGGTTCAAAAAAAGTAGCCAACCAACATTCACCATTAAGCATTCAATGTTAACAACATCTACATAAAACGAAAAGTTACCTCAAAATAAAAGATTTCGTTAAACTGCGGGTTACTGGTTTTCTTCTTTACTTTTGTCTTCTTCTGGTCATTCCTGTTCCAATGTGGTAGAGTTTTACCTTGTAGAACTTAACAGTACATAATTATAAAACATGCTATCTCCAAGCAGGGAGGGTGACCTTTCTTTAATTGTTAAGATGTCTTAGAGAAGAATGTAGTTTTAAATACTACTTGGGGAAAAATATTAAGTCAGGGTTTCTTAAAACTAAAAGGAAAGAAAACACAAGTTTTGTGTATCCTACATCGATACGCCAAAACTGAGTATTCTCTTTGTGGTTCTAGATTGACTGCCAAGTTTTCTTGATGAGTTTTTAATAATATTCTGTTACACAGAAACAATGCAAAATATAGTGTGTGAAAGAAGACAAATTTGCAGACACCTTTATGTTAAAAATACACCTGAAGAAGAAAAAAAAATTCTTCACTTAGCTCCTTATGCTTCAGCTCAAATACTGATTATTTCTTTTTTAACTTTGAGAGCTCTGACGGTGTAGTTTGTAAAGAGAGGTGTACTACTTAACCCAAAAGCAGTGTATCTCTCTAGTAGTTCCAATCCAACATTTGCTCTTACAGAGAAAGAAGGGCAATCTTCTCCTGTGCAATTCACAGCCTCAGAAAACCTTACAGAGAGTCAAGTTGTGTCAAACTCAATGGCAACGAGTTTTGTGTATTTATATTTTTAAATAATTATATATATTCATAGGAAGTATAAAGAAAATTACATGCAAGTTCTGTGTAGTTTGCCATAAATGTATAAAACTACAGTTCAAAATCAAAACCAACGCTTAAAAAGAAATCTACATGCCAAACAGTTTTTAGGAGTAACACTTAAATGAAAGAATTCAGGTACAGATTAGTTTAAAAAAAATCTCTTAAATGAGCCATTTATAATATGCAATTAGAAATCTAGCTCACAGCATTAGAGGTACAGAATTGAGTCAGGTGTTTTTAAAATTTAATATATCTGTAATAATTTATGAACACATAAGAAGGCACTTTACATACATATATAAACGTCTAGTTCTCAAAGTGGTCTATTCATAATTTTTTTTTATATTAATAATTTTTAAAAAATAACTAAAGTGGGTGGGGTTAGGAGGATCAATAGTTATGTATGCATGTGTACTGTACTTCTGGATTTCTGATCTAAACCTTCACATTTTAAACAAATCTCGGATCAGGAAGGCTTTGAAATCGACTGAAATGAAACTATAAAACAGAAAAAATTACAAAACATTGTACATTTCTTGATACCGTAACATTTAAATCATTAGGACAGTGTACTTCACCATGGTCTGAAACTTCAGAAACCCTTCTATACAGCTTAGAATTCTCTCTGTACAGCACAAACTCCATGAGTAGAAAGTGTTTTCAGTACTCATTAAATCATTATTTGAAAGCAAGAACACTGATGAATGAAATTGGATAGTTCGTGTTGTAGAGACTAACTGAGATTATTCCCTACAGTTTAAGACTATAGAAGGTTTGAAATAGTATCCAATTCCTTTCTGTATAAAATGAGTTGATTGTTTTTAAGTATATTAACAAAATTCAATAAAGTCAGTCTTTTTTACTTCGTGTCATTAATAATCATTCAGCATGTTCTCTTAGACCTTAGTTTTATAATTCCTATGTCAAACTTTAAAACCTGATAGTAGTTCAGTAAACATTACCTGGAAGGGCCCATGAGAGAAACTGTTGCATACGGGTCACAGCTTTGTCCATTTATGAGAGGCAAACCATGGCATGCTTTGATGCTAAGGAAAAGAAAGAGAAGGGACATATTTAAGTCAAACAATAAGAAATATCTTTAGGTGGGGGGGGTGGAGATGGGGTAGGCGGGGAGAAAAGTGCAACAATGAATGAATGGAATTCCAAAATCTCTGTAGATGTTCACTGAAATGAAAAATAAATAAATAAAAAAAGGAAAACATTCAAAAAAAAAAGAAAGATCTTTAAATACAAATGGGTATTTCAGAGAGCTCAAAATTGCTTCCTATTAAGAGTATAGTTATAGGTCTACATATGATCTACCCCCAGGATAAAAATTCCCAGCATACATAAATATGCACTTATTGACTTATGTTATGCTTTCAAAGTAGTGCTAAATTGGAATCTCACAGTTAGGCTGAAAAATAGTATTTAATACTTTTCTACTCTGACTAGGGATGACAGAAGGAGAATTGATACCTTTGAGCTGTGGTGCTGGAAAGAGTATTTAATATACCACAGACTGCTAGGAGAACAAACAGGTTCATCCTAGACAGCTTGAGACCAGGCTGCTCCTTGGAGGCAAGGATTCTGAAGCTCTGTCTGACATACTTTGGACATGTTGCAAGAAGGGACCAGTCCTTGGAGAGGGACATCATGCTTGGGTGGGTGGAAGGACAGAACAGGAGAGGAAGACCCTCAGGGAGATGTAGATTTAGTGGCTGGGGGCTACAGGGGTAAGTGTGTCAGGGACAATAAGATTGGCACAGGATAGAGCAAAGTTCAGCAATGTTGTACACAGGGTCACTATGAGTTGCAGGCAACTTGACAGCACATAACAACAACAACTATTAAGTATCTACTAAGGTGTGTCTTATAATTTGATACAACATCAAAACTGGCATGGCCCTTAAAACAGAAAAAAAAACCCAGCAAGCACTTGAACTGTGTAAACTACAAACCAAGTCAGCTCTATGGCATCACACCTCTGCTTAAGTATGAATGAGAAAAGGCAACAATTCTGGTTTCCACTTAAAGCCTCATTCATAGCTACAGTGCATACTTTCACATAATTCAGTAGTTTTTGATTCTCATTTCTGCTACAGCAATATCCTGTATACAAAAATTCAACTATCAAAAACAAGAACCCACTTCGTGTATTATATTCACTGGCATCTACTAACAACAAAGAATTTGACTTAATGACTTGCTCTTCAAATTTTCTCCCTAAATACCACTGAGTTCATCAGCTTAATGCTCAATGGTCTGCATTAACGTCTCTTGAGTGCTGCTGAAAAGTATGCTTTGTTGAGTGTGTGGGCACAGATGTAGAACTGTTGGGCATGTCTTACTTCCTCTCCAGAGCCCATAGATCACAAGCAGATGGTGTGCTGCTGAGTCAAGAGAGAGTCAACTTACTTCCATTGAACTGGTTATCAAAAACAATATTTGAAAAGTCTCTGAAACAAGCCAGAGAAAACCTAATATTCTAGATTTAAAAGTTAGGCACAGATATATATTAAAATCTTCCCACTATGTTTACTATCTGAAATACTTCTCAAGATAAACCGAAAAATGTCACCTAGTTTTTGCACAACATTTACAGTCTATGACACATTTTGACAAAATGCATATAACTCCTAACAAAGTCTTTACGATGAATGTCATCATGCCATTTTAAAAGAAAAAGTGCAGATTAAAGAGATTACACAAGAGCAACAAAATAAGGCTTGGCGAGGTAACACGACTTTTAAGAAGTGAGCCACTGTCTAGTTGGGAAACCTGGCTGCCAAAGGGCCACTCCACAAACTAAAGATGACAATATCATTTAAGAGAGGGGACTGCATCAGCTGGGAGACTCACTTCTACAACCATCACTCTGAAGTGTTAGGGAGAGAACTGCCTGCAACCCCCTAGACAGAAACTTCTCCAGTTGGAGAACCAGGACATACCACTCTATAGATAAAAGAGAATAACAGACTTCACGAGAGAGGGCGGCAATCAGGAGACAGTCACTCTCAGAGCCAGCACACTGAGGTGCTGGGGAGGGAAGGACCTGTAACTCCCCTGGAGAGCTACTGTTACAGTTGGGAACCTGGCCACCAAGCCACTCTGCAGAACAACAAGGGCAATATAATTTTTTTCCTACTAGTTTTATTTTTTTGTTTTACAAATTTGAACAAATTCTTTGCATTTTTCTCATCCCCACCGCCTATCAAATTGTGCAACCCAATGATTAATCCCCCCTTTCACCCTCACAACCATATCCCTCTGCTTCCAGCCTCTCCCACCCCTCCTGGATCCTTATACTCATTCTACAATAACAGTACTTATCCTTATGGGATTGAGTTAGTTCACTCAGCCTAATGCTCTCCAGTCCCTCCCAAGTTAGGTAATAATTTACAAAATTATTGCTCCTGCGTGCTGCATAGTTTTCCCGCTGTGAGAATGTAATAATTTCTCAATCCATTCCTTTGTGGTTGGACATTTGGGCTGTTTCCATGTTCTTGTGACGGTGAATAGAGAGCAATACCATTTAAGAGAGGAGGCTGCAATCAGGTGAAAGACTCACACCCACAGCTGACATACTGAAGTGCTAGAGAGGGAGGTGCCAAAAGACAAAAGATTATAGGAGAAGGGGCTACAATAATGTAAGATTCCTGCAGAGCTGCCCTGTGGACCAGAGAAGACCTTAAGGCAAATATTCCCACTCCATAGACCCAGTAGAGTGAACTGCCTACCTCCACAGATTGAACATTTTAAACCTACAACTAATCAATAATATCATAATTATCAAGAACTGTCAATAAGCTCCTCAGACACAACAGAAATGGGCTACTATATAGTTAATGTCAAGAAAGCAGCAGGCAGCTTCATACCTTGTGAAAAAACAAAATAAGCCTAAAAAAATCAGAGCATACTGCAGACCCAACAAATATCTCGGACACAGGTCAGCAAAAGAAATGTATTGATACCGAGTCATATGAACAGCTACGGAAGAAGGTGCAAATGATGGAAGAAAGAATGGAAGCCATAAATAAAACAAATCGACTGAGAAATTGTAATACATTCACAAGATAGAACAGTATGCAGCACAGAGCACCAATGATTTAGAAAAATACTATTTAACATGGGAGAAGTTAGAGAGCATTATACTGAGTGAACTAACTCAGTCTAATAGGACAAATACGGTATAAGATCATTATCATAAAAATAGAAAGGTAACTAGTAGATGTATATAAAAGTCCAACAGAGGAAGACAGGGTGACTGAGTGTGAGGAGGGGAGGAAATCACGGGGAGGCAGGGTTTGGTGGACAGAGGAAGGGAGTAGATGAATTAGGAAAGATGCAGTGGGGACCTGAAGATATGAGGTGACAGTGTGCATAGATCAGTGATAATTAATTTTACAAACATAATACATGGGAATGATCATATGAAACAAAAGGTGAATGAAGGAGTGTGTGAAACACTATGTATATGACTGAAATACAATGTATACAAATTTTGTAGGCAAATCAATATAAAAGTTTTAAAAGTATAAAAAAAAACACAAAACAAAACCACAACAAAACCCCCACAAACACCAAATGGGAGCCAGGATTCAAATTTTACTTTTAAACCATTAATATACAGCTTTCTACATTTTCACTGTACAGTTGTTGTTGTTGTTGTTGTTATGTGCTGTCAGTACTGCCTGAAATATTGCATTACTTTGCAATACCAAATTTACCATGTTAACACTAATTAATAGGAATCTGTATTACTGAAAAAAAATCCATGCACTAGAGTTTATATAAAATATTTTTTAAAACCTAGGAAAATACAGTATAGTATAAAAAGACTTTCCCAAGAATATCCACAAATCAAAGCAATGGAATTCATTAACCAAAGACTATAAAAATAACCAGAAATACTTACAATTTTGAAATTGGTTTTTGTTAAACTCAGTATCATTAGATATTCTTTTGTTATATATATATTTTGAAATGTTAATTTTCTAATTACCAATGCTATAACTATTCTACTTGATAAATCAAGCAATTGCACACCATGAAACAGGAAAAGGCAGAAAATAATCTTAGTATGCTGAATTATTTTTAATTTCTTTATCTACGACATACATGAGTTATGCAGATGACACAACCCTGCTTGCTGAAACTGAGGAGGACCTGAAGCGCTTGCTGCAGAGGGTCAAGGACTGCAGCCTACAATATGGATTGAGGCTCAATGTCAAGAAGACAAAGATTCTCACCACTCGACCAACTGGAAGCATCAGGATGGATGGTGAAGAGAATGAGATTGTTCACAGCTTTAGTTTGCTTGGCTCCACAGTCAACACTCTCAGCACCAGTAGCCAGGAAATTAAAAGACATATTGTCATGGGAAAGTCTGCTGTTAGGGACCTCTCCAAAGAACTGAAGAGCAATGGTGTCTCTCTGGAGACTAAGGTGCGTCTGATACAGACCATGGTCTTTGCTATCACTTGTTATGCAACAGAGAGTCGGACAGTGACTAAGGAGGATAGAAGGAGAATTGATGCCTTTGAGCTGTGGTGCTGGAGAAGAGAATAGAGAGTACCATGGAGTACTAGGAAAACAAACAGATCCATCCTGGAAAGGGTTAAACCGGGTGGTTCTTTGGAGGCAGGAATTCTGAGGCTTCGTCTAACATACTTTGGACATGTTATAAGGAGGGACCGGTCCTTGGAGAGGGACATCATGCTTGGGAGGGTGGAGGGACAGCGTAGGAGGGGAAGGCCCTCTCTGAGGTGGATTGATTCAGTGACTGGGGTAATTGGGATGGGTGTGTCGGAGACAGTACAACTGGCACAGGACAGAGCAGAGCTTAGGGCTGCTGTACATAGGATCACTATGAGTTGCAAGCGACTCGACGGCACATAACAACAATAAGATGACATACAAAGCATTTGAAATTTCATAACAACAATAACATGACATACAAAGCGTTTGAAATTAATATATTACCTACAAATTACAAACGGAAATGAACTTAGTCCAAACTTGCTTAAAATACAAACTGATCTTA